AAGGGCAAGGACTACTATCAGTACGTCATAGAAGTGAGAAAATCTAGGTATAAATCCAGTCATGTATTTGGATTTTAAAAAGTATGTACATATTGCCTCCATGTAGTTTTAGATAAAAGACTATTTTAATGTCTGTTTGTTCATACATAGTAATTCATTTACACACACACACACACACACACACACACTCACACATGCACACACACACACACACACCTGGATTGCCTTGATTTTCTGCACTGATGCTCACAAGAACATTTTTGTAAATTTCAGGAAGATACTGCAATTTTCCTTGCCATTCTTTATGAGTGTATAATAAACTTATTTTGATGCCAGTTCTTAAAATATTATGCAAAAAAACAAATGTACTTGGCAAAGGTTCAACAAATCTATTCATAATATTCAAACATCACCCACCCTTTTAATTGTGTAACTGCTAAATGCATGAATGACCTAGTACAAAAAGTAAAATAATATTGGAACATGTGAAATAAACAGTAAAAATATACAAGTTAAATTTTTGTCCAGCACAATATGGAGAACAGTAATTTTTCTCTATTGAACAAGAACTGATATTTACTTTTCATTAATAAAGATTAAGCATACTCAAAAACTCTAGTTTAGAAGTGGGGAACAAAAGAAATACCTAACAGGAAATGAAAATGAAATAGTTTAAGAAATAATGTAAGAAAATCTGGCGATGTAGCTCAGTGGCAAAGTGCTTGCCTAGGATACATAAAGCCCTGGGGTGGATCCCCAGTATTGGGAAAAAAAAAAAAAAGGAAGAAAAGAAAGAAAGAGGAAGAAACATGTAAGAAGTATAAGAAAGTTTAACTTGATTGTAAAGTTAGAACTTCTTCCCAGAAACATTTTTTTTACTTCATGCAAATATATTCTTGAAGTAGAGTGTACTTTAAAACCTCAGTAAAATTAACATAAAAGAGCAATACTTTACATTAGAGTTAACTATCCTTCAAGATGCTGCACAGATAAGAAATAAAACTTGTGAATGAGGGAGACATAAATTCCTACTAGTAGAAAATTATACTACTACTACCCTTTATATTCAATGTCAAGGAATCCCCCAACAAGGCCTCTGATAGCAGTAGAACACTGAACTAGGATTAGATGCACAACAGATTTAATCCAGAATGGAAATCATTATGTCCCTATGTTTGAACTTAAAAAGAATTAATAAGAAATTAATCTGCTTTTAAAGTCACATTTTCACATAAACTTATGTTGTGTAGCTATTCAACTCTAGTAATCAGTCATCTAGCACTAATTCTTACAAGGAAAAGATTCTACTTAAGATGGATGTAACTTAAAAAAACTAAAGTTTTGTTTTTTAACTTTTAAGTTTAGCTGGCAAAAGTCTAGAGAGCAGAATTCTAATTCTGGTATTCTGCAGTGTGTGTGAACTAGGGAAGTTACTTAATGTCTGTGGCTCTCAAATTCTTCATACAAAACAAAGATGACTTCCTTAAGATCCCTTCTAGTTCTAACATTTTATGATTCTTTCTCCACTCAAGTACCTCCCACAGGTTTTCACATTCCAACACACTGCTAGACAATGTGACATAAATGCTAACTGTTTTCCCCCACTGAGCTAGTATAATTGTGGATAATGTTCCAACTTAATATAAAAGCATGTTATAATTTGAAAGAACAAAATTATCTAAACTTTAATGACAATGCTATGTCTAAAATCCTTCAGTCTAAGAGATTTTAAATAAGCCAGGCATGCCTAATAACCCTGGCTACTCAGGAGGTAGAGATCAGGAAGATCTTTAGGAGACCCTCTCTCAAAAATACCTAACATAAAACAGGGCTGGTGGAGTGGATCAAGTGGTACAATGCCTGCCTCACAAAGCATAAGGCCCTGAGTTCAAACCCTAGTACCACAGAAAAAAAAAAAATTAAACAAAAGTTAATCTTTAAATCACATTCTTTTTGCACCTATAATTCTTTAATTCTACATTATACATTGTTATAAGTACAAATGAAACAGGGCCTTAAATGTTAAAAATTGATTCTTTCAAGTCCTTAAACATCTTTAATAATATTCATATACAATGATAAATAATGATACAGACAGTACTGACCTAAAAGAAAATGCAATTTAGTTTTCTCCTACAGCAAACTTACTTTATTACTTACAATTATCTAATCTGTATAAACTTAAATAAACAAAATAATAAAGTACATTATCCCTGACCTAGAAACTACAAAAACACATCACACTATCAGGGTTTATTCAGTTACTACACTTACACAAGAACCTTTTCTAAGTCAATTATACTTAACAAATTGTTTAAAATAATTCTAATTGTGATGTCTTCTTCAATAGAAAGTCAAAAGCCCTCTTTTGAAACTCCTTAAGTCTTTAAACTCAGTAGATTAATGGTAAAGATTTCAAAACTGATTAGACAAACCATAAATAATTTTAGACAGAATGTCATAAAATGTTTATCTGTTTTTAAAAATTGTTTAAAATAAATAAATTTTGTCCATTTACTGGTTTTCTAAGCAAACTGGGAAATGTAAAAGTAATACCTAACATGTTTTGTGTTTATTGGGCTACCTTGGACTGTGATGAATGGTCAAACCAAAAAATAATTATATGATTTTTTTTATTCTTATGCTAAAAAGTACTTTCTAATTTAAAAATATACTTAATTTTGAACACTCATCCATGCAAATTTCTTTGATACACCCACAAGTAAGTCTCTTTACTGTCTGAACTTATTTATCAAGAATACCATGCATTCTTCTCTTCACACAGACTATAAATTCTTTGTGACACTCTGAACCTGGCACAGTCACACATTACTCAATAAATTACTGCTGAGGAAGCAAGTATATAACTAGTAATATGGAAAATCAAATTACTGTTAACAAATGAAAGAATAATGTATGGTGTCCTATTTTAAATAATACAATACTCAAAGATGAAGACAATGCTATTCTTCCAGTGTTTCACCTGTTAGCAAACAATTTTTCTGAAATGGAATTGGCAAAAAAAAACAGAAGAGATAATTGGACAGTGTTTTGTTTTCCATGAATACCTGTTTCAAAATTTTAGGCAATTCACTTACATTGTAAATAATGTCTGTCAAGGAAGAAAACTCAGATTCCGTTTACTAATAAGACCCAAAGACTGAGGACTATTCTGCCCATGGCTAAGAACTACTACATGTCTTTGGCACACACATTTTCTTTTCTTTTCTTTTCTTTTTTTGTGGGACTGGGGTTTGAACTTAGGTCCTCGTGCTTACAAAGCAGGCAGCCTACCACTTGAGCCACACCTCCAGACCCTACATTTTCATTTTTTGCTAATGCCTTTCACATTTGGAATATTTTGTTTTTTACTTTATTGAAAAGTGGGAATTATTTATAAAATATCAATTCAACAAAGAAGTCAAAAAAAGGCATACATCCTAAGTAGGAATTTTAAGGACAGCATTATTGTCTCACTGAATCATTAAAGAAGAAAATGTTTCACTGTAGCCAAGAGTATTGTCATCATTCTGAAAAATATGTCATAAAAATCAGAGCTCAGAGTTAAGACACTGGTGGCTCATGCTTGTAATCTGAGCTACTCAGAAGGCAGAGATGAGGAGGATCATGGTTCAAACCCAGCCCAAGCAAATAGTTTGCAAGACCCTATCTCTAAAATACTCATCATGGAAAAAAAAAAAAAAAAAAGCTGGTGGATTGGCTCAAGGTGTAGGTCCTGAGTTCAAATCCCACTACTGCAAAAATAAAATATAAAATACAATAAAAAGTCAGAGTTCAGAGAGCTAACAGTAAGCAATGACACATAAAAGTTCCCCCCCACCAAATGTTAGTTTAATTAGGAAGGATGACTACTCTGACAGGTATCGTGTGTGTGTGTGTGTTTGTGTGTGTGTCTGTGTGTGTATGTACTAGGTCTACCTTTGCAAATCTATGCAACAAATAATAGTGCTTGATCACAAAGGAACAGCAAGAGTTCAGTAATGTTGTTGTTAGATAGTGACTATAGTAAATGACTATTAAAATTAAGAAACTATTTATTTCTTGAGCAGACATTCCAACATCAGTTGGAGTTGAAAGAGATATAACTTTAACTCTTTGGTAATATATTTAAATGATATTTAAAAGCTAGTTTTCAATACTACTTTGTTTCAGAGGTCAAAAAATTAGTGTATTATGGTAATATTTGAACAATATTTTAATATATCACTAATTTTGAAAACTACTCTAGGACAAATTTCAGCTATCATCCAAACACTGTTACTCTTGCTCTTACTCTAACCCTACTAGAAACACAATTGCATTATATAAACAACAGATCAAGAAATCACTGGATGCTTCCAGGCCTATTTTTCTTAACAAGTTTCTCAAAAGTCTACTGTAGTAGTTTACAAGGAAAGACAGGAATAACCCAAAAATTCTAGGTGATTAGAACTTCTGATTCTATGAAAATAACAAAGTCAATAAATTCAACCTCGAATTTGTCATTTAGGATTTTAAAAATGTAGTAAGACTGCATATCAACCAATAAAAAGCTGGGTGTGGTGGTGTGCACTTGTCATCCCAGCTATGCAGAAAGCTTAAATAGGAGGATCATAGTACAGGCTAGCACAGGCATAAAAGGAAGAACCTACTGAATAAATAACCAAAACCAGAGGGAGTGGGGGAGTGGGTCAAGTATTACAGCACAAGACCCTGAGTTCAAACCCCAGTACCACCAAAAGAAAAAAAAAAAAAAAATCACTCTTTTATTTGAAATAGGTTGAGAGCTGCCGGAGAGCCAAAGGATAAGACATCAAGATGTACATTTAGCTGCTCCCCAAGACATATCTTTTAGTAAAAGAAAGGAGAAAATATTGTCATGAATACATGTGTGAATACTACTTTTTTTTTTAAATAAGAAACCTACCTATATTAAATAAGTAAAATTGTTTTATAAATAATATATAACTAATTGACTTTTAGGTTAATCTTTTTTTTTA